CAACAAAGGTTGCCGACCCCTACCATACATACCTAACTAAAGTGAATGGGATTTTCTTGTCAAGAACACAGACAATGGAAAGGATTGCACGGCTGTAATTCTAAATACACGTACAAGTGAGCATGTCCCACTGAAATCCATGGGAACTGCTTAGGAGTAATTAGGAGTAAACATGAAGAGGACCAAATTGCCTGTATTGTAAATATGCATTATTGATTCCAGTGACATGCACTACTTCACACTACATTTTTAAAATGTAAATACATAATTCCATAAAAATAACAAAACTTCTGTACTACTTTGAATTCCATCCTTGGGGAAAAGGCAGAATAGAAATAAAGTGATTGACTGAATTAAAACAAACAAACATTCAGGCTACATATTTAAAACACTAGATTTAGGCTTCTGGTGTTGGAACTCAAAATTATATCCAGCAATGAAATCCAAAAAACAGTGAATATTACTTGGTTATTGGTTGTTGTTGTTTTCAAATTAATTTATAATTATATAAATCCTAATAGTTCCAAATGAATGTTATGAAATAAGAATCCATTTCCCAGCTGTTCAGCTAACTGTGAATGAATGATGAGAATCACCATAAAATAATTTGGCATTCACCCATTTATCTGCATATATCTGGATGTTCACCAAATACATACAAGTCAGGATTATCAACATTCACTAACTAGGTCGGTGGTTCTCAAACTGGGATGGGACCCAGTTTGCTCAAGGAGTGGCACAAGACTTGAAGGCCATTATCCATCCTCTCTTCCCAAACCTTTTCTGTCCTGGGGGTTATTCAGATGGTAGAATGTGGGTTTGATCTTTGTTGTTCACATGCATTTCGAATGCATCTGAGTAAGTTTTTTCAGGGGCTGCCAACCCCAACCCCCCCCTTAACCCAGGATAATTGATTTTGGGGTGGGAGGGATCTGTTTTTCTAAAAGATTTGCATTGTCGGCTGTGTGAATAATCAATGCACATAGACCCAAGATAAAGCTTTGCATGCCTTGAATGAGTTTCAAATACATCTGCATCATCGACTCCATCATTACTTGCAGAGATGTGGTTCCAATTAAATAAATAGTGTGAACAATGAAACCAGAAGGCACAAGTGAGATTATTCGCATAGTTGCGCTATAAAAATTAATATCTGAATAACCCTCTGGTAGGGAAGGGAAAGCCAAGGAGGATGCTTGGAGCCTTTGCCTGAAGGAAGAGGAAGGCAGCAGATATTAAAATATGAATATACATTAATGTTTGAACAAAAATACAGACACTAAGCAAACAAACATTTTTATTCATATACATCGGGAGGGGGGAGAGATGACATCTAGATGTAGATGTAAAGGAGGTTACATGAATAAAAAGTCTGAGGACCATTGGATTAGTTGGAGAATACTGTTTCACTTTAAAACTCAGGGTTATCCAATGAAACCAATTGCGAACAGAATCAGGAGTGAAAAAAAAACAAGTATTTAACTTACACAATGCATAATAAGCTTATGTAATACACTGCTGCAGATCTGAAGGTTTGGATCTAGGATTTGTTTTCTGCAGATGGAAGAGCTCTTTCTCTGTAAGACTTCTTATCCAGCACAGGGTGACCAGATGTCCTCACCGGAAACGAGGACAAGGCACCATGAAATGTAGGACAGTCAAGAAAAATTGAGGGCATTTCAACATAGAAGTGAAAAACACTAATATAAATGTAAATACATGGTTCTTATTGCTGCTCAAAATGGAGGACATTTTGGAATTCCTCTTGGACAGAAGGAGGAAATATAGGACCTGTCCAGCAAAAGGAGGACATCTGGTCACCCTGATCCAACACAACATTTAAAAGGTGCAGGAGGTAGCATTTGGGGCTGAAGGGAAAGAGAGAATGGGGAGGTTAAAGATTATTATTATTATTATTTCTACCCCGCCCCTCTGTCGAACAATCGGGGCGGCTTACAACAGTTAAAATTCCATACAATCAATCATCTCATAGTACACTCTAAAACCCTAAGACCCACCCACCCCTTAAAAAAGTATTAAACCAAGTGTCATTAAAACAAATTAGAATAAAACATCAAAATTAAAATAAACTAACTGGAACAAACAATACACAAGCAAGAGCAGCAACAAGAGTAAACAGAAGAGGTAAAATTAAATAAACTCCTAAGGCCGGGAATTCTAGTCAGGAAAGGCCTGCCGAAAGAGATCCATCTTTACAGCCTTTTTAAAGCTGCTTAAATTTTTATTTATATTATTATTATTCCTATCTCCACAGGTTACAGTGTGTAACCACTCAGTGAATGCTCCTGCTGGTGAGAGGAAATGATGGATCCAAGCCATGGTGATAAAACTGACTTAAATGGTTTTGAGAAAATATTAAACACCTTTATATGCAGAAATTCTAGACAGAGCTTGGAAATTTTACTTTCTGCTGATTTGGGAATTCTAGTGATTCTCATCCCCAAAAAGCAAAAATGCCACGCTCTGGCTCTATGAGTGGATATGCTGTTGTTGTTGTTGCTGTTGCTGTTGTTGTTGCTGTTGTTGTGTGCCTTCAAGTCATTTCCAACTTATGATGACCCTAAGGCAAACCAATCATAAGGATTTTCTTAGCAAATTTCTTCAGAGGAAGTTTGCCATTGCCATCCTCTGAGGTTGAGAGAGTGTGACTTGCTCAAGGTCACCCAATGGGTTTCCATGGCCAAGTCAGGATTTGAACCCTTGTCTCCCAGGGTCCTAGTCCAATGCCCAAACCATTACACCACATACGCCCTCATCAGTGTCTATACCTATAAATAACTCATATTCAGAAGGGCAAAAAAAGGATTGTCCTGGTTTCTTAATAACTTTGCCAAGGCATCTGGATGGCCATTCCTGGAAATAACAATGCTTGGCCGGATGAACCTTAAGATCTAATCCAACAAGGTAATGGTTAATGTTGCCTGCACAGATTGATGTTCACCAAATTTTGTGGTACTGTAAGTTTCTTTCAAAATCTCTTGCATTGGCATGGTAAAATGAACTAATTAAGGCTGGCAGTAACTAAAGACGGTGCAATATGGCAGGGCTTCATTAAGGGCCAGTAGTTTACCAGCTGCTCACGCTCTTTAGCCGATTTAAAATGGCTTCTTCACGTCTGAGCGTTTGCAATATGTTCTGGATAAAACGGCAGGATCTGGATGTTAGACTCCATGTCTTTCTGATTCATTTCCAGGATGCCATTACAACTGAGGTTGCCACGACTTCTACACAGCAGAGCTTCATGAATTCGGTGCCTTTCACTGGTCCTCAACATACTACTAGACCTTTCCAAGGGTTTCCCATTTTGAATCAAAAAGAGGAATGAACAGAAAATGGGGGGGAAAGGAATATAAAGTACCATTCACATGGTTTAAAATTCATGTAAGCTGCGGCAGAAAATGTTAAATTATATGTAGACATTTTCAAATTTAGAATATTTGTTGGCATGGAAGTTACTATATAGTTGAGAGCCGGTGTGGTGTATTGGTTTGAGTATTAGACTACAACTCTGAGCAGGGATCAATTTCCCGCTTGAGCATAAAATCCCACTGGGTGAACTTGGGCACATCACACTCTCTCAGCCTCTGAGAATAGCCATGACAAGCACCCTCAGAAGAAACCTGCCAAGAAAACCCTATGATAGGATCACCATGAGTCAAAAATGACTTGGAGGCACGCAGCAGCAGCAGCAACAACAACAATATACTGAAGGAAAGGTTCATGGTAACCACACAGAGCTCCTCTATGGATTATGGGAGGAAAATATAAAAATAAGAATAATTAACCCAGCCCACGGAGAATATAGTTACAGTACATAATGATCATGCTATTTTTCAACCTAAGTGTTTAATGGTTTCCTAAAAGAATTAAAGCAGAATATGCTTTCACATGTAGCACCGGTTGGACATAACTGAATGTCTACCCTAGGGCTTGTTCATGTGTTACAAAAACATGTCTTAGTTGAAAATCTCTCTTGGCTTAATTTTTCTGATTTTTTCACAGGTGTTGAAAGCCCCATAGGCTTTTTTTTCTTGGGCATTCCCCCTTCTTGGATTTGCCCAAACAGCTATTTCCTCTGACCTAATCTGGGAAATTGCAAAACTAAAAGAGAACAAAACACTGCTTATGGAACAGCAATCACGTGAGAGACCATTACACATTTCTCTTTCAGGAATTGGCGCCTAGGCCCTGGTAAAAGTAAGATGCGTACGTGTGTTATATACTACTTGTTATCGACATGGTGAGCCTCGTTTTAACATTAATATGGATTTGTAGGTGATGCTAGCACTTATGGAACCTTTTAAAAAATTTATAGTAAAAATATGTTTGTGGAAAACAATCTGCTTGGAATTTTTCACAGTAAACACGTTTCAGAAAGATATATATAAATATTCAGAGTTAATGAAATAGTATGGTGGAGGCTAAAAAATTATACATATTCTCACAAGTGAAAAAGCTATGGGTTTATAATATTGAGAAGTTTAAATGTTTAGAAGGAAGTTGCTCCCATTTTCTTTTTTATAGAGACCGAGCTTATTACACACACATACACACACAATTATTGTTTTTGTTCTGTCCCTCCAAGTCATTTTTGACTTATGGCAACCCTAAGGCAACCCTGTTGGCAAGTTTCTTCAGAGAGGGTTTGCGATTGCCATCCTCTGAGGCTGAGAGAATGCGACTTTCCCAAGGTCACCCAGTGGGATTTTATGCGCAAGAGGGGATTCAAACCCTGCTCCAGAGTTGTAGTCCAACATTCAAACCACTACACCACACTGGCTCTCAACTATATAATAACTTTCATGCCAACAAATACACTAAATTTGAAAATGTGTACATGTAATTTAAAATTTTCTACCACAGCTTATGTGAATTTTAAACCATGCTGCTATATAAATGGTACTTCATATTCCATTTTTCCCCATTTTTTTTATTCATTCCCCTTTTTTAATTCAAAACTGAAAGCTCTTTGACAGGTCCAGTATTATGGAGAAGGAATCAGTGACCACCAGCCTCTTCTTTTCCACTACTAGTGTGAGCATCCCATGAGTGGATCTCTCCTCCGTGCAACTCTGGATCAAACTCACAGAAAATTCCCCATGGTCTACAGCGTGCCTTTCCCCCAGCGTTGAACAACCACAACCTATCCCCATACACTCAACCACAAAAAGACGAGGGCTTCCAGGGCAAACGGATTTGGTTTCTCAGCAGGCTTGGGTGTGAAGACCTCTCTTTTTAGAAATTAAATGCTGACTGGCATTTGGTGTTTTTATTCATTTGCTGATATGCTTTTCCAGAGTCTGTTCCAAGCCACATTGCTAGCTTTGTCTGGACTTATAAAAGGCAGTTTTAATAAGATAAACATAAATGTTAAACAATTCACATTAAGCCGCCATCTGGACCCCAACGGAAAATTTCATGTTTTAGATTTACATATCAGCATTTGCCATCTGGGTAGTCAGTTATACATTTTATGTGAAACTCTCGATGTGCATTGTAAAGTTTGACTATTAACTCTTATTGCTCTTTCAGCAAACATATTTGCATCAGGATAAACAAAGGAGTAAGGCAACGACCTCATATTTGGAATTTTATATTAGGTGTCTAACAAAAGCTTTCTGTGGTCCAAATGCTTTAAATCCCTGCCAGGAGGCTTTAAAAAATAAATTAATTGTAGAGTAGAAGATCTTTATAGGAAAGTATGTAATGAAATTTTGGGGGATGGAAGGATAACAGGCTCTTTTCACATGGACTGCTACCAACCTTCATTCACATGCTTATTTACAAAAAAAAAATGTCCAGATTGTGACCCCAAGTAAAGTAAATGGGTCCAACTAGGAAAGAAGTTGCATCAAATTTAAAATGGAAATAAAAATGATTATTGGTCTATTTGTCTGATTCCTGAAGGCAGCCATTGGTCTTCTTCAGCTAAATGGAAAACCCTCAGAATACCTATTTTGAAAGTGACTAAAAAAACATATCAGGCTGTTTACCTTAAGAAAAAAGATCAACAGTGTATCATAATGCAAAGGGATCTTATATTACCTTTGAGACTATCTGAAAGAAAGAAGCTGGTAGGGTGACTTTTCCTAGACTTCCGCAGATGCATGGGGCCATCATAAGGTTTCTTCAGTTTCTTTTTAAATGTGGCTGGAGGATGACAAAAGTGGGTTGAGTGTTGGACTATGACTCTGGAGACCAGGATTTGATTTCCAGCTTGGCCATGAAACCCACTGAGTGACTTTAGGCAAGTCACACTCTCTCAGCCTCAGGGAAAGGCCATGGCAAACCCCCTCTGAACAAATCTTGCCAAGAAAACCCCATGACAGGTTCTCCTTGGGGTTGCCACAAGTCAGAGACAACTTGAAGGCTCACAACACACAACACATGCAATTCACTAGTGTTGGATATCCTATGTAGTTCTGTCTTCTTCTGTCCTAGACTGGCATTATGTCTCACTTTTTAAGAGTGAGACTGGTGGCTTTTCTTCCCCTCCAGTTTTCTGAAAACGAGGGCTTTTTTTCATTTACTTTTCTTTCTTTTTGTTGTTGTTAACTGCCTTTGCGTCAGTCTCGACTCATGGCAGTGACCCTATGGATGAGACATCCCCAGGCCCCCCTGTCCTTACAGCTCTGCCCAGCTCCTGCAAACTCATATTCGTGGTCTCTTTAATACAGTCCATCCATCTAGCATGTGGCCTTCCTCTCTTTCTACTTCTCTCCACCTTTCCTAACATTATTGTCTTTTCAAACAATTCATGCCTTCTCATGCTGTGTCCAAAGTATGACAGTCTAAGTCTTGTCATCTAGGGATAATCTGGCTTTACTTGCTCCAGAACCCATTTGTTTGTCCTTTTGGCTGTCCATAGGATCCTCAGCACTCTTCTCCAGCACCATATTATCTCAAATGCATTGATTTTCCTCCTATCTTCTTTCTTGACTGTCCAGCTCTCACATCCATACATGGTAACAGAGAATACGATGGCTTGTATGATTCTGACTTTTGTGCTGAATTGTATATCTTTGCATTCTCTCTTATGTTGCTACCCTAGAGCTAACAGAATCCAGATGCATGTGGCCACGACAAAACATTTCAGGAAACTAGATATGGAAAGTTACAATCCTATCCACGACTTTACTCTCCTAACATCTTCCTGCCACCAGGGATTTACCTGAGAGTAAATCCCATTGAGTATAGTGGGACTTAGTTCTGAGTAGACACAGATAGGACCGCACTGTAAAGCAAGTCTGTGCTTAATACCATTGGATAGAACGGGGTAGGCAACCTTTCCTCTTTAAGGGCCGAGGGACTTCAGCTCCCAGAATCCCAGGAGCTATTGGCCAACATGGCTGAGGATTCTGGGAGCTGAAGTCCCTCGGCCCTTAAAGGGGAAAGGTTGCCTACCCCTGGGATAGAAAGTTTGGTTTCAGCTAGAAGTACACTTTTTTCCTTGTACAGTACATTATGAATCCATGTGATCTGCTTTCCTCATAAGCCACCTTTTAATAATTCTCTGTGGATTTCAATCTCTCCAATTAAACACTCCATTTTGCTCCATCTACTAAGAAACGGGCATTTCAGATTTTATTGCAGAAACTAAGGCATTCTCAAGCCTAGAAGTTGGGATTGTGGCAATAATTACTACATTTTTATTATTTTAAAAATTATTATTAGTATTAACTGGGGAGCTATTGGATAGTGCAAGTCCTACAAGCTGAGTTTTTTTTAAAGACCTTTTAAAGTTCCAGTCTTCTTCAAGCAATAAAGGAAACTATTTCCAACTGAACTACTGCTGTTCTAGAAATCATTTCACTTTCCTGTGTGCAATTACACCACTATTTAAAAGGCTACTTCACATGTGGCATCTTCCATACTTGGGAATGAGAGAAGCATCTGTATTATTGTGTGAAGACAAGTTATATATTTTCTGTGACGGGAAATCTACTTTATGAAAAAGTACCATTTTTACTGAACTGTAAACCAATGCCACTGCTATCTGTAGAAACCAGACATATTTTTTTCTTAAAAATATAGGTTGGAAAGAAGTTAACAGTAACAATCTTGCAAAAGAAGTAAAGTAAAGAATTTTTGCAAAATACACCAAATATTAACAATCTCCCAACGTTTTTATCCATGTGATTCAAACACCAGATTCATAATGCAGAAGATACAACAGGGAATTACAAAGTGTGCACTATAATGTTGCCCATTACATGTATTTCCACAATAAAGTCTTGTTCAAAAGTGACATGAAAAGAGTTGAGATGGGATACAATTAGGCTACAGTTTTAAAACAGACACCTTCCTTTGAAAGTAGATACATCTTAGCTATCGCATATTGAATGTCCCATATAAATGTCAAAATGGAAGTGAAGTAGGACAGTATTCATAAGACCTACATTTATGGGAGATCCCCACCCTCAATTGCTAAAGGTTCATCATGATAATCAGTCTAACCAGCTTGTTGGGGGGCAATCAGCTCACACTTGTAAACCGCTTAGACATCCCATAGCGTGATATGAAGCGGTATATAAATGAAGCTGCTTTGCTTTTAGTAACTGTGCTTTATGTATGTATCTGGAAGCTACTGGTGCTGGGTACAGATAGTGTGCAATCCATAAATATTTAAGTATATCTTATCAATAGCATACTGTTCTTCCAATCTCCCTGTGCAAACCTTGTGATTCAAACAAGAAGGTGCAAGGAAGCTGCTGCTGCAGCACATGGGAGCAAAGTGATCAGACCTGAGTTGCCAGTCTGGTTAACTTCTTGCTATTATTACATTACTTTCATTCCTTTTTGCCCTAAGAGGTCAGCTTGGATGTTGGACACCCAGCATTGTGAAGTGCTTTGAGCAGGGGTAGGCAACCTTTCCCCTTTAAGGGCCGAGGGACTTCAGCTCCCAGAATCCCAGGAGCTATTGGCCAACATGGGACTATTGGCCAACATGGCTGAGGCTTCGGGGAGCTGAAGTCCCTCGGCCCTTAAAGGGGAAAGGTTGCCTACCCCTGGCTTTGAGTGTTAGACTACAACTCTGGAGACCACTGTTTGAATCTCCACTTGACCATGAAAACCCACCACCTTGAGTGAGTCACACACTCGCAGCCCCAGAAAACCCCATTATAGGGTTTCCATAAGATGAGAACAACTTGGAGGCACACACTGACAACAACCTATGTACCTTCCCCCATGTTATCTCTATCCCATATTCTGATTTAGTGTTCATCCATGTGGGAAGGAAGGAGGGAAGGAAGAAAGAAAGAAAGAGATGCTCTGGTAACCTAAATATGAAATTAAGAAGGAAAGGTGGATTTAAGGGCAAAGCTAGAACCTATTATTACATCTGATATTACTAGCACTACCAAAACAATAGCAAAGCAGATTTGCAGCTCAGTAAAAGCCATCTATATCTTGTATTTTATTAGCCAAAATATAATTTTACAAAGGCTTACTTGGCTTCAGCTATCATATGTATCTCAAAATGCTCTATATCACAAATTATTTCTTTATATTTTCTATATAAAGTTATGTATCATTACCACATATGGATTGCCCAACACACATGAGTGCTTCATTTTTTAAAAAACAAAACAAAACATAGATGCATGCTCCAGGAATTTTATTTCAAGTCTGTTCTCCGAATCCAGGGAGGGAAAAATATTATAATTCAGTAACAAGGACAATTTTCATCTGTTTAGAATTCTTTCATAAAACAGTTTTAAAAGCAGCAATTTTTTTAAAGCATTCGGTTTTAGTTGTAGCTGGAATAAGTCATCCTGG